TCTTTCTTTCTTTCTTTCTTTCTTTCTTTCTTTCTTTCTTTCTTTCTTTCCACCTTTCTTTCTTTTCCCCCTTTCTTCCCCTTCTACAATCTCCTCTCTTCAGCAACCTTAATAAGTAACTTTGCATCACACACACACACACACACACACACACACAGACATAGAGAGAGACAGAGACAGAGACAGAGAGACTAGCTTCTGTACCAGTGTTCTGGAAACCCATCACTGTAAGGATATTTTCCCTCACACCTTGGGATCCAGACCCCGAGTTTCCTCTTTGGGACTCTCCATCAAAGTGACTTTTTTTTTTTTTTAAGACATTCTACACCCGCAGAACAATCTGCACAAACATGGGCAGCATTTTTACTTGTTTAATGAGTTTAAGACATTATGTGAAGAAAGACAATTTTGGACTCCTGAATTTTTATTTACCAATCCAAGACTAAGAGAAGGAGAAGGAGAAGGAGAAGGAGGAGGAGGAAGAATGGGAGGAGGAGAAAAAGAAGAAAGAAAGAAAGAAAGAAAGAAAGAAAGAAAGAAAGAAAGAAAGAAAGAAAGAAACCCCCCATTATCCCTTCTCTAAAGAAAGAGGAAAAATTGGCTCTCAAATTTGAACATTGCCACAAAGGAAACACTGCATGGTCTTATCTAAATACAATGACCAGGGACCCAATGATTCAACTAAATACAAATAGTAACAGCAACAAGAGAGACGCTCTTTGCATAACCCACCTCCAAACTCTGAATCAAGAAAGACCAAGGAAACAACCAAAATCACTATTCTATTGCTTTGACGCCTTTCCTAGGTGAATAGTGGCATTCACTAAGCTAATAGGGACGTTTATATCAAGAAACATTTCTGTATATATTGTTGAATTTTAGTTGTATATATACTTTGTATGTTTTTGTCTTCTTTCATATATGGAGTAAAAGCCACAAAATGTTGGGAGTGTCCTCTATTTCTCCATGTGTCTCTGTCTCTTCATCCTTTCTCCCTTTCCATTATTATTTTTTTTAACCTCTCTAAAATAATTGTTTCCTAATCTGGGGTGCTCTATACATACTTCTCAAGTGCCTGAAGAGATGTCAGTTTTCACCTAAGCCTTTGTCTCAGGTGCTTTAACATGAGCTGTAGATATTTTCTCGGCCTTTCATTTTAATTTTGTTGTTGATTCATAACACTTTTGCATTTTTAAACATTATTATAATCTATTCCAAGGTTAATTTCTAGACATCCAGCCATTTCCAGTACTGTCTGTATCTGAATATTCTCCTTTCCCTTTGCCCAGCCAAAATAGTACAGCTATATTTGCCTTTGGAAGCGGTTAAAAAAATTAAAAAGAGGAAAGAATAACAAACCCAGAAAGCAAAGTGCACAATTTTGACTACTTAATGTTGAAAACCCAAGTGCAAGCTAGCGAGGTAGAAAAATGTACTATCCTGGGAGAAACACATCCTTCCGATCTCGTGGAAAGCAAAGAAATAATGAAAATGAAAAGTCTTTTCGTCATACAAGCAGGAAGCCCCATACTGTGAGAATTAATGGCTACAGACCTGGGCATCCTTCAAATTATGAACCTTGAAACCACTGAGCCATTTATCAGAAGTCAATAGAGATACTCAGAGTGCTCCATATAATGACAGCGACATACAGTCGTGCAAAAGGACAGTCACTATAATTAGACACAAAGCAAAGACTACTTACCAATATACCCGTTCCTTTTTTTGTTGAGCAACTTCCACGCTCAGTCAGTCTTCAGAATGGTTTAGAGCCGATCAGTCTTGTCATTTTCTAGCATTCGCATTGTTACATTAGGAAAAATGTTTTCTTTTCTTTTTTCCCCCTTCCTACTGTGAAACTTTGGGTTCGTAGCTCCCCAGGATCAATTCTGAACAAAGCCTCCAGCTGCAGTGCCATCCAATTTGAAGCAGACATTGGGGACAATTTAAGGTTTTTATCCACAAGAAGGTTTTTTTCCATTCTCTTAAATGCAGCCATAATTAGAGTAATTTTTCATGTAGCCCGCTGATTACAGCGTTTTTACCGTCAAAGATAATTACCTGTAATTTTCTTCCACTTTTAATACTAAAAAGCCATCTTTATTTAGATTCAGGAACAGGAAAGGCGAAACAAAAGAGGGAAATTATTCTGTTATTCATACACAAATTGTAGGACCTAAAATTGAAAATTAACCAAAATTATAATGCTGAAAAGAATGGAAGAGGCTGCGGGAGTACAGCTGGTAGCAGGGCTTTGCTGAATTATTCAAATTATGTTAGAGAGAAAGCTACCATATATCCAAACCAACACTAATTTTTCTTTAAAAAAAATTCACCAAATATATGCCAAACCACTGTGAGTGTGTGGAGTTCTGAACCCCAGCCAATGTATGTTACTATGTTGGAGGCGGGGCGATGTGTTTCTTCATCCGATCTCTATCTCTTAACATCAGCTTAATCACACAAATTCTAGGAGATAGTCCCCCTGGAATTCTCCATAGAACTGGGTTTCCACTGGGCCCCCTGAACTTCAAGGGTTAATATTTTCTCTTTTAAAATGTATTGACCCCCTAGGAAACTGATTCCCTGAGGGAGGGGTTGGTGGGAGGGGCATGGGTGAAAGGCGTTGCCAGCTGAGGTGTCTATTGCGCCTCCCCACGTTCAAACTTCCTCCTAGGCTCCAGAGTTTGAGTTCCAAAGCCCTATTCTGACCATATGAAGGGGGTGGGGTGGGGTGGGGAGCAAAGCTATTGGGTAAGGGTATAGGAGAGAGACAATTTCTCCTCCTCACTAATAAATAAGCACCTCCTTATCTTTGGACTCAGCATAGTGCAAAGGTTCTTGCCATGGTAGAAAATCTTTTCTCTGCAGTGTGGGGAAGTCAAAGACATTGTGGGCTCCCACACTAAACATTTCTAGATGCTTATAGAATCTACAGGATCAGGAAACAGCGTCATCTATAGATAGAACAGCACAGCTTCTTGCTACTGTCTTCCTTGGTACATAGACTAAACTGGTTCCTTGGCTTCATATATTGGTTCTGTGTCTCAACCAATCATGACCCTCTAACCCTAGGATCACTGCATTTGGGTTCAACAAGCAATAAGGTCCAAGATCCGGATACCTTTCCCCTCCCCCATTACACACACACACACACACACACACACACACACACACACACACACACACACCACAGCTCTAACAGCCTTGAAGGGCTTCAGATGCCAGTGTTTCTACAAACTTTCCCCCCAGCTGGAGAGAAGATGTCCCAGGGGCTGCAAAGCCCAGAGATTCGGGCACACCTGCTTTTGCTAACATGCATCCGCATACCTGACTGCAAAGAAGCAAGCCACACAGCCAATTCTGTTTGATGTCTTGATGCCTCAAAACCTAAAATCACGGCCGCATGTAAAAACCTCAAGGTATTTACCTAAGATCAATTGTAAGTAACAATTTTCAGATAGACTTTAGCTTGGACTCTAGGCTCCTTCCACACCTCACAGAAACCTGGTCTTTCCCTAGTCTCCAGTCACATCAGCAGCACGGAAGCAAGACAAGCGGATCAGGTTCTTAAGGATCCCGTTTTCACCAGATCAACTCTTTTACTGTTAAAGGAAAATAAAAGATCAGAAGCAAACCCTAGAAAACAAAGTTGCAGTTCAAGAAAATCACAACACATTCCATACAGCTTGGAGAGTGTGAGTGAGAAATAAAAAAACGGTACCTAGAAGTATGCCAGAAATAAAAACTTACCCCAGTGAATATCTCTTAAGCAATGTTCAGGGTCTAGAAATCTATACTGAGCCGAAGCACAGGAGAGTATTTTTCTGAGTCTCAGGGCAGAAGCTCTGTGTCTATATTCTTGGTTGAGTGAGCACATCCAGGTGTGAAATTGTTTGCACACCCCAGCACCTCTTATATTGCCAGCAAAATTAGCTGTTATTACTGTCACTGTTTAGTGATGGTTAGCGTGATACAAAAAAAAAAAAAAAAAAAAAAAGCCGCTGTAATCAAGACCTGGCGCATCTTTGCAAATTACAGATAATTGTAAACGTCCAGATTATGATAATAGCATCCTAATCCAGCCTGCAATATAATTATTACAGAGTGTTACATCTGAAACTGTCCAGTAGGGCTAATTCAGCCATTATTTAGACCCTATTTTTTGCACTGCAAATGGGTTGCTGAGTTGAAAATGTACGATTGTAATTTCACGGGGCACTCAATGAGTAATGGTATAGGAAGAGGAAAATACAAAAGTGAAATGTGAACAGTAGCGATCAAATCAAACCCTGAAGGACAAAAGACTGTTTGATTCATATGGAAAAAGAAGAGCCAGAATTAAGAAAATAGCAAATCAGTGGTCTGAAGTATTGTGTGTCCAAGTCTTCAACAGTGTAGAGCTGATGCATTTGCGGAGGCTGCTGTTGCTGCCTGCCTGAGGTTCCAAATAATATTTCTTCTCCTCCTCCTTCTTCTTCCTTTTCTTTTTAAAATACTCCTGTCTTTCTTCCCACTGCCAAAGCATTTCCCTACATTTGAAGGTGCCCCTCCCCCACGGCCCCTCCCCCACAGCAAAGAACGTTTGTCAGTTTCCCCATTGTTTCCACCAAAGTCACCTCAGAACATGCCTGTCACTTGTTATGAACATATTTTTAAATGAATTTGCAATCGCTCTTGTCATCAGAGCAAAATGCCCTGGCTGCTTCCGAAGCGTTTCTGTCCCGTCTCCCCCCCCCCCCCATCTCTGCCCTCTTCCACATTGAAGAAGCTACAGTGTGTCCTAGAGGACATTAGCTGAACATGTATTAGTAGATGTTAATTAAATGTAGCCAACTGGGAAGCTACCATCTTCAGTTGGTTTGGCTGTTTTAATTTCATCATTAACTTTTTTAATTAAAACCTCCCTAAGTCAATCAGTCTAGCTGCTTCTGGGTCACAATGTCCCTAATGGGGCAAGGTTCGTCACTTCAAACTCTAAAGGACAGACTAGAAAGGGGTGGGAGAAGCAGAGGGAGAGGGACTGGAGAGAGATTGAAAGACTGTTCCTGGTCTCAGAGTCGAACCCTCTGAAGATTCTATTACTTACAGTAGGATAACCCCTGCCCTAGTAGAGACTTTGCTGGTCTAATTCTGGTAGGGACACCCCTGTCATAGACACCCAAAGACCTTCTATCCCCAGGACTTCAGTTTTTCCAGGTTGAGCACAGAGAATTTCCTGGGCCTCTTTTCCTGTCTCTAGGCCATCTGTGTTGATTCTCCCTCCTCCCAACAACACCTTAGAGACCCACACGCTGCCCAGCCTGGGCCACCCTGCGGGATGGCAAGCAGGCTCCCTACCTCCTGTGAATATAAGGGCAATAATGAAATGTCCCCTGTTTAGTGACCCCTGTTTATAGATGAAAGTTGAGTCCATATCCTGCCCCCCCCCCCGCGCGCCCCTCTTTCCCCACCTTGCAAATGGCAAGTGACAGAAATAGTCCTAGGATGACAATAAGCGGCAGTTTCTGTTTTCACGCCTTTCAAGAAAAAAAATGCTTTAAAATAAATCATAGCTTGGGAACTGTTTACCATCCTTCACTCCCACCCACTTCTTAAAAAAAATACAGCAGACTGTGTATGGTGGATTCCACAGAGAATTGTTACTGAAACCAGGAGTGTGTGTGTGTGTGTGTGTGTGTGTGTGTGTGTGTGTGTGTGTGTGTGCAGAATCAGGTCCTGAAGCCTCCCCCTCCCCCACTCCCACTCCTGTGGTGAAAGGTCGCAATGTGTGGTATTTCACGGTTTTATATAAATCTTGGTTTAGGATGTGGAACAGACTCAATAATACATGTGCTCTTGGCAAAGAGATTCCGTCGGAACCCCATAAATCAGAAGTAAGTAAGTCCAAGCGAACAACAGCTCAGAAACATTCAATCGCTGTAAAAACCAGACTCTTCAGTGCTTTAAAGAGGGAATCGCGTAAATTCCCTCTTTCTATCTTTAAGGTTAGAACTCAAAGTATAAAGCGGGTTATTACATTACAGCGGGCAGCCCTCGGTGACTGAAACCGAAGGCTCCTGCACCCCTCCATCCAGTTTACCTCGGGCAGTAGTAGATACATTGTGTACTTTCTGCCTTGCACCGCTAAGAAATCTAAAGCCTGTCAGAGGCAGAAGAAAACACCAGGGATGCAGGTCGCCTGTACAGGCTATGTAGAAAAGAATTAACCAATCCCACGTGTACCACCGCGATTCCGGCTATTTTCGAGGCCCAAATTTCGTCTGGACTGGGACTGGGTCTGCGGGCAACCTGGGAACAAGCGGAGGGAACCCGGGAGCGGGTGGGTGGGGACAGAAGCTAACCGAAAAGCCCCCTCCCCAAGCCCTGGGCAGTGGGAGCCTGCACCCAGTCAATGGGGTGGGGGTTGCTTGAGAGTGAGGCGCTAGGTGACCGCAGACTGATCCTCGAGGGTGGCGCACTTCCCAGCGACTCCCAGCTACTGCCCTCAGGGTGTGCCTTCCCTGAAGGCTGGAGAGCTCAAGGTTGGCGGGATCCCAATGGCCAGTGGGAGGCGCTGGAACCAGGAGGTGGGGGAAGGGACTGGGATGTGTGTGGCTGAGTAGTCCTAAAGGTCCCTCTTTGGGAACAACAGGAAGCAAGGAGCTGAGGGGGAGTGCAGAGCAGTTTCCAGCAGACATCCAGGGCAATTCGGGCTGAGGAGTGCTAGATACTGAACTGTGTGGAGGCGGCAGTGAGCTCGAATGCAGGGCCTAGGCGCGCTGTGGGTAATCCTGAACCGCACCGCCGGGACATCGCGAGCCACTGGGCGTCCGGTGCGATCAAAGGAGCCACGGGAGGCTAGCCGGCGCGCCTTGGGTTGTGGTATAAAGGGCGGGAGAGAGAGGGCTGTCCTTAGGCGGAGAGATGCTGCTCTGGCTGGTGTCACTGGGAGGGGATGCGTGTACATCTTTGTGTGGGTCAAAGCTCTCCTATGCAAGGCCGGGCCCT